GACTTCTGCGCACTATGCCCTTCAGCATGCGCTGACCTCGCTCTGTCATTTTACATTGCCTACCACTTTGTGGCTGAGTTGCTGTTGTTCCCAGTTGCTTCCACTTTGTCATAATACCACTAACAGTTATGGAATATTTAGTAGCAAGGAAATGTAATGGATGGACTTATTGCACAAGAGGCGACCTATCATGTTACCACGCTTGAATTCACTGAGCTCCTGAGAGCGACCCATTCTTTCACAAATGTTTGTAGAAGCAGTCTGCATGCCTAGGTGCTTGATTTTATACACCTGTGACCATGGAGGTGATTGGAACACCTGAATCCAATGATTTGGAGGGGTGTCCCAATACTTTTGGCAATATAGTGTATGTAAGTGCAGTGATTTTCAGTGGCTGAATCATGCTTCTAAAATCACTAGGGATTAAATCAGACCTTGCAGCAAGCAAAGTCCCCTTATTGAAAGTGCACCACTCCCCTCACACAAAAAATGTAAGCAAAGTGAAAAAAAATTTAAGAAAAAAAATTAAAAAGTATACAGTATATACCTTTCCTCTGGCTTGTTTCTAAAGCACCCTCTGGCGAGATGCTGGGGAAATGGCAAAATCTCATGCGAATATACTCCTTCACTGTTTTTAAGAGTCATTTGGCAAGATATGGGCTACTCAATAATCCCAGGGATATTGCTGTAAAAAAAAATTACATCAAGCACTGATGACTATAGAAACAGGGGCAATTGACTGTTTTTCCAATGGGACGGTGGGGTAATTGATTGGGTTCCAGGTGCAACAAATGGCTTTCTATAAGTTGAGCTGCACACAGAGTACAGTAGTAGTCTGTTATAGCAAATAATCAGACTTCATTTGTATGATGTTTGAAATGAGTGTAATTGATTGCCTTTACAGGTTTCTTCATGCTACTAGCTCCCACCATAGGGAGCCATTTGTTCCACTTGTGTAGTGATCAATCATTACTCATAGAGATTAATTACTGCATGACTGAGCAACCAAAACAATCACCTGTGTGCTCCTGCACTAATTATTCTTTCGTCACCTTCTCTTTAGTGGACCGAAGTGGAAAGGCAATGTGAAAGTAAAGCAGGCATTCATAAATTATCCTTAGTATATCAGAAAGCATAACTGGTCATAGCAGGAACACTGTGCAGCTCTCTGCTAATCACCATCATTGATTATCCACCAGGAACTGTTTATGCTTCTGATTATTACTCAAGAACAGTTTTTGACTTACAAAAGACTCATATGACCTTATTTATCAAGGTGGTTGAGAGAATAATTTCAGACAGTGACACCAAAACCAAGTAATAATATTCAGCCTTTCACTACCTGAATGTGAAAAAGAAGAATGCGATGGAAAATCTGAATAGTTGAGCCATTAAATATATGGTAACTTTCCTCCAGATGCCTTGATAACATAGGCCTAGAAATATTAACAGCTCGCTCAGAATCAAATAGAGAATAGCGGTGCTCTAGCAACAGAAAGAGGAGACAGAAAAATGTGTATAGTTTATCTTTATTCATTTAGGTCCATATTTGGAACAATAAGTTTCAATTTATTTGACAACAATGTCAAAACATCTGTAGCTTGTAGTAAAATATTAAATTGGCAAGTATTGCAACGTGAACCATTTATTGTTGTAACAGTGAAATTGTGATATATTCCTGATTTACGTATGGTTAATTCAAACCTAAACTTTCATTGGTAAACTTACTGTATAGTTAGATATTGTTTAAATCCCATATTTCATGCTAATTGTAAGTTAAGAATACAGGAAGTGAAATGCATTTTGGTTTAACCTTTAGTTTCAGTTGGAAATTGTGATTTACTGGTCAAAATGAGCATTACGAATACGCATTAAGTTAGTTCAGGTAAATAATGTTTTGGTAATTGAAGTAAAAATGCTACTTAAGAAGGCAAATATTTAAAGAATAACTTCACCCAGTGGCCTACCCAAACAAATGTGGGTTTCATTTAAATATGGCAGGTAAAGGGGTGGTCAGCCACCATTAAGAGTGTGGCCATGTACCAATGAGTGCACAGTATCTAAGGTAGTGCAACTTTGTCTCACCACCACTCCTTGTACACCCATTGAAAGTATTCTTCATGCTACCTGCCCCAATTCTCACCACTATGTCTACACACATGAAAAAGTCCAACCCCACTTCCCTTCCACTTTCAACACTGTACCTATACATTTCCTCTGCTCTTGCCACCCTACTACCGTGCTTGACCTCAGTCCTCCTCTCTTGCTTTCACCACTGTGCCTGTGTACACCACCCCTTTGATCTCACAATTGTGCCTGACCCCTACCCCCGTGTGCTATTACCACTCAGCCTGAACACTATACCCTTACCACTGCACCAAACTCCCATCTCCCCAGCACTACTCCTGCATGGTGACCCCCATGTCCACACCTGTATACTTCACCACTTTTGTGCCCCTTCTCACCCACAATCACCCCTCACTCTAACCACTGCATCTGCCACCTCCCTAACCCCCCACTCTGACCACTGCAAATGCTGCCATTGGAATTTCCCCCCCAATCCCCAACATTGCTTGTTCTAGAATGGGAACACTTGATATATTATACATATCAAAACAGCCAGCAAAATGATTTTGGCCATTTGTAATGGTAACAGGAATTTCAAGCAAAGTGCTTCAGTATCTGTGATGTTTTTTAGCCAACTTAAGTTATGCTCTATTATGCTTTGTAGGAAACACTGATTAATGAAACTGCCTAAAATGTGTCAGTTTGCTGGAGGTTAAAGTGAACCTGTGCCTTGCCCATACCAAGCAAAACAACAGGTTCACTTCAGTGGTGGCTCCACCAGCAGTCTATATTTCCCTTCACTACTTCACTGATGTGTCTGACTACTGAGAGCAAGGTGAAAAAGCTGGTACTTATGAAAAACGTATGTGGCTCATTCCCCTTTTACTGCCTGACAATGCTTGTGTTTGGCAATTGGCTGCTTAGGTGCCCAACGCGTTCCTCATCCCTGTGTGAGTTCCAAGTAGCAACTTAGAGCTTGCAAAGAGCCCTCTCCAGTATGGTGAATCTGTTGTCAAACAAGGCACAGTATTGCCATGCAATAATTTTCATTACTGTGCATTATTTGTTTTTCAAGCAAAACTGTGATTTGTCTGTGCCTTTCTACATACACTCATTCCAGCATCAGTTGCACATAGTTGCTCTCGGCAAGTTTTTGGATGATGATAGTGGTGGATCATGCCTGCTCAATATGTTGCAGCATGGCTATTTGTCGTCTATACCTGGGGTGCATATGATAGGTTGACAATGCAGAAATACAATTGGGAAACAGTTGTCACCCTAACAGGAAGTGCCTAACCAAGGCTCTATAGGACAGAATTGCCAAAGATTTTTGACATATATATATATATATATATTAGCAAGTTTATATGAAATTTTAGTAGCTGTAACATTTGTTGTACACTAGAACATAAAAAAATCTCTGTTCCTGGAGTTATGCGTAAAGGGGAACGTTGGTCCCTCTCCACCCTCCTCTTTTTTTTTTTATTTTACTTGCAATACAGCTTTCTCCTCAAGTCAGATACTCACCTGCTCAGCGGATCCAGTGCTTCTGATATGTGACCCGCTCTACCACTGTCACAGGGTGTACTCAGCTCCTCCATTTTTGTCCTCATATCATTAGGTGCTGGGTGCCGGTGCTGGGTGCCTCTTCATGGTTCAAGCAGCCTGACCCCCTGATAACGCATGCCAGGTACCCCTCCTCCAGCTTCTGTGAATGAAAATGAAGCATTATGGGATGGGATGTACATATCCCAGGAGGCTTCAGATTGCTGGAGAATGTCACCTAGGCTAGAATGGTGGCCAAGGGGAAGAGCAGGCTTTAATAAAAGAAAGTAAACAAACACAAGGGGAGGAGCACAAGCATGCCCAGTGTACCCAGAGACTAACGTTCTCCTTTAAACAATACTTTACAAGTGAAGTTTTGAAAAATATTAACTACATACTTACCAAGGGGGAAGAAGCATCAATCTGATGCTGCTCTGTCCTCCACCACCTCTAAGACCAAGAGCTGAGCGATCAAAGACTGTTGCTCATTCTCGGTGTCCTGTGACCTACGGGCAAATAGTGCCAAAAGAGCTTTGGCCCAACTTCTCCATTAAGTTAAGAAAAGTTGTTATTGGGCAGATCAGCATGTAAGTTAAGTTACAATTTTTGCAGTATATTGTAGGCAAAAAAGGTCAAAATTCTTAATGGGGTCTCTTGCTCCTAAAATATTTGTATCTTCCAGTTGGTACTAAATGTAAATTGGTATGAAATTGAGAAGAACAGAGTTTTTTGTAAAAATTAAATTACATATAATCCCTAACTGAATATATTTAGTTTGCTAACGCATAGCACAAACAATTGCCTTTTTTTTTTAGAAAAAAAGGTTTTTCACCACTCTTTTGGGTTTACATATAATCTTGAAAAAAATGAAGATTAAAAAGAAATAAAGACTTTCATTGGTTATTTCATACAAAAAAATTATCTATATTAATACCTGTTTGTTGTTTGTGAAGTGAACAATTTTATGAGAAATGAATTGACTGACAAACTATTGTTAACAGTTAAAATAAATTATATAGCTTTGTGAGTTGACCCTGTCTATTGATCTATCTGTTGATACTAAATATACCTTGGATTTTGGTACACATTGAAACAGATGGACAAGCCAGGGCAGTTGTTGGGTCAAGAATTTGGTATAATGATGTTCCAGTTTCAAATATTTGGAATTTAAGTTTCTGCTATAGGACACAGAAGCATATAGTGACACTATTATGGACAACATTTGATGTTAAATAATTTATCTAGATGGTACATATTTTTGAGTTTGTCACCAACACAGTTATTTTTTTAATTCGTTAAAATACATTTTATAGACTTAACAAGAGCAACAACATTTAACTTCTTTAAAATAAATTATTTGCAATTGCAAACTACATCCTGATGCTTTCTCATGTGAAGTCTTTGGAAACTGCTTCTACAAAGTTCGGTGCTGACATCAAGATGGTAATTGTACAGATAATAGCGAAAAGTGAGAAAGCAACAAGACACAAGCGGTCGATAACTGCAGCAGCAAACTTCCATTCACTGCAGATCTCTTCGCCCTCATCCTGGTCTCTGAAACGCCTGGCAATATACTGGACTTCTTCTAATATCTTAACAATCTCTGGCATGCTTTCTCGCAAACATTTCTTTTGAACAAGGTCACTGTCCTCCAGGGAAGGACATGTCACTCTTCCACACATAACTCCAGAGTCACTGTTTGGTGGACAACAAGGACTTTCCAGGGAGTGGTAGCCACAGTAGAGGTTGCCATTGGTGGATTGGTGTGCTGGTGCAATATTCATTTCAATGCTGCTAATGCTGGAATGGTGGTGATTGGGGTACATATATCTGCAGGGGATAGGCCTCCTGTTCTCTCCAGGTTTTCTCATCCTTAAAAACCATGCACACCAGTTGAGCAGGATAACCCGTACCTGAAGTGACGCAAGCAACATAAAAATATGATTTAGTAATATTTCACTCAGTTAAATTGTTAATAAAGAATAATTTGAATGTACCTGTATCAGATACCTTCATATTAAAAGTTATATGCAATACAATTCTAGAAATGTTTACTGTTGGTGGACTTTACCTATAAGCTTTTGGAGGTACTTTTACCAAAATACCAGTGTATATTTGACACTAGAAAGTTATTGAAATCACACATTGGAATTAGTGGAAAACCACTAATTGGTTGCAGTAGAGTTGTTCAACTACTACATTTAGTCTAAGGTGAACATACTAGAATTGTCCATGATTTGCATGAAATTCAGGAACTTCAGCCAACAAAACTTGATTATGAAGTCCAAATGATATGTAATATTCAGCACAGCTCAATAGAAACCCTGATAACGTGGGAGATCTGACACTCCTACTCTCTGCAATCATTATGGATCTCAGGCTCCATTCACACCAATGCGGTTTTTTAGTGCTTTTTAGAGAATCGTACTACAGTCCATTTAACATGGTTTCCTATGGAACATGTTCACATCTCTGCTTTTTTGAACTGCTGCGTTTTTGGAAAGGGTCAGGGACTTTTTTTAAAAGCAAAAAGAAGCATTTTTGCTACAATGGAGTTCAAAGGAGAATCTGCTGAAATGCATGGTAGTACGTTTTTGCCATGTTTTGCATTTTTATTCTACCCAGCAAAAAGAAAAGAAAAGGGCTGAACTAAACGCAAAACAAAACCGCGTCAAAAACGCATGTAGAAAAATGCAAAAAAGCACTGCAAAATGGACAAAAAGCAAATAGCATAGGTGTGAACGGGGCCTCAGTCCTCATCCAGAAAAAGTTACTTTAAAATGTAAAAATGACCTGTAACAGCCAGGTCCAGAAACAAGCAAGCCTTTAATCAAAACACCAGCAAGAAGCCTGCACTATACTACAAATTGCCTTCATGTTTGCTTTGAGTAAAAGCTCACTAGTTTTGAACACAGCTGTTAAGGATTATTTTAGCATTTGAATGTTTTCATTGCTGGAAGTTCTGTTCCATCCTAATATCTATCTAACTACACTAATAACGGAGACAAATAAAAAATAACTCCTGCAAATACTTTCTGTGCTCCTTTATAGTGTGATTTAAATACGTGAGCAGTTGCATGCTGTTAATGGGCTCTTGATAGGCTCCATTAATTTCTGTAAATGAATGCAGTTGCCATTCAGACATGGATGAGATCAGGTATAGACAACACCATTCACCTGCGAAGAACAATGTGGTTAATTACCACAGTCCATAACAAGCCCAATAGTAGCAGATGAAGGGCACAATGCAGCTCACAGCTTGTATGAATGAGCCCAATTTAGTGTTCTTGCACTCATATTCAGCATGAAATTAATGTCCTAAACATGTTCAAAATGGCAGCTGAGCCGACTTGCTCTATCAGCAAGATAATAATGGACATGCATAGTTGGAGCTGGAAGTTTTAGCAGAGAGATTCCAACAGAAAAAAAACCAACAACTATAATAAAACCTGATCTAAGCATACAAATTGTTTGTTTAGGTCTATAATCCTTTGGATAGCTGATTTTTTGCTTTTTGTTTATAGCAGTTTAATCACTCTTTTAGCCTTCCTTATAGACCTAGCCTTTTATATTTCTGCCTGAGGCATATGAAATGTTAGTAAAGGTGTTACTGCTCTCAGACTCATAAAAACATTTTATAAATAAATCAGATGAACTTTTAGCTAAATGCAGTTCAGGTTCAAAGGAAGAATTTTATAACCTGTTTTTATAACCTGTTTAGAATATTATGACAACGTAAATAAGTTAATATGAGATCACTATACTTCAACTGATGAGTGTCAAAAAAGGGTGGTTGATAACTGTAAAATGAAATGCCACCCAGTTACTGCTGTCACCTATAGGCACCTGTCTACAGTGCCTAATAGAAATTCTGACCCTAAACCCTCAAAGAAGAACTATAGGTAAAGCTTTTCTTTTTCATTTTGGATAGAGTAAGGGAGGCTTATAACCCCTGTCAGATTTTTTTTTCATCATCTGTGTCCCATTTGCGAGATTTCCTTTCACTTCCTGTCCCATAGCCAATCAGAAAGTGATAGGAAATCTCTGAAAATTAATGGAATTCCTTGGGAACCACCAGGTCGCTAGAATTGGTGTCACCATTGGAAGATTTCCTCTCTGTTACTTTTCTGGGGACAACCCAAACTTTGGGATTTTTCTTCCACTTTCACTGATAAATGGTAAACAGGACAAATAAAGAGGGTAAATCTCCCTAACAGGGGCACAGGTAGCAATGAAAACCTGACATAAAATCTAAAAATTAAAAGCTGATAAAATCCCTCTATCCAAAACTGACAAAACGGAAAATTGTATCATACTTACCGTAATTTTCCTTTCCTGACACCAATCCATAGCAGCACACACATGTGATATATCTCCGCCGCTATATCCACCCACAGGACCTGTGTATATCTATAAAAGTCTGACTGAGAGCAACCATTCTCCGTACAATCAAGATCAAACAAGGGAGGGTTCATATGCTGCCATGGATTGGCGTCAGGAAAGGAAAATTACGGTAAGTATGATACAATTTTCCATTTTCCTGATGCCAACATGGCAGCACACATGTGATAAATAACTAGCTAAACAGGGAGGGCTAAACTGTATAATCAAACTGCATTACAATGGACATGGAAGCTAGACTACCATTCTGTTGAAGTCCATTGACATATAAATTCCTGGATCTTCCCTGTAGCTCCTGAGGCAGGTGCACTGTGGTAACTAGCCTGCTGCTTTGCAAAAGTCTTCATAGACACTTTGCATGTGCTGCTCCCAATGTAGAGATGGACCTGGCTGAATAGGCCTCTACAACTTCTGGAGGCTCTTGCCTAGCTCCACTATGTTTTCAGGATGACCTTGACACTCCAAGATGACAAGGTTTACTGCAGCTTTCTCCTCTGAATTTGCCTGATGAAAACATGAACAGCCTCCCAGAGGATTTAAACAAGGAAGCAGCTTGAAGGTAGGCATCTTAGATACCTGGTACATCAGCTTGTGTAGGTTAGGTACCATCTGTGCCATAAAGGATGGAATCACCAATTTGTAAGATGAAAACTGAAGCCACCTGGGGACAAAGGTGCTTGAGGGGCATAGATCCCAACTTGTTCAGAAGAAAGAAAACGTAGGACTCTGTAGCTTGAAGTGCTTACTGGTTCAAAACTCTGACCCCTGAAGTTATCGAGGGACGCTGCTTCGAGTGATGTCCTACTGCAGACTCCTTTCTATTGGTGCAAACAGAGACCTGGCAAGGAAATCCAGTGCCAGAATAAAATCCCACAGGGGAAAATGTTTTTCCTCCTCAGGGCAAAGTCTCAGGACCAACCTCTTGAAAACACTCCCCTGGCAACTCACACGCTCATATTCCCTGATGAAGCTGAAATGGCTGAAAATTTAGCTCTTACAGAACTAGGCTGAGCCCCAAATTTAGATCTGTGTCTAAAAATTATAGCAACTGGGTGATCAAAATCCTGCTCAGTTGCAAATACTGTGAACTTGTTCCAGACGTCAGAGTAAATGGCATTTGTTCACATCCTTCCTGAAATCCTGCAGGATTTACCACTGAAAGAGGGTGGCCCTAATCCTTCAATCCTTCCCTCTCAATTTCCAATCCATCCTGGGCCAGGTGTTGTGGAAACACTGGTAGCTGAAGTGCTTGGTTCAGACTCCAGTTCCATGGCTAGGGTATAACCCAGCCCTGCAGGCTAATCGGACATGCGTGTTATCACAGTGAGACTCTCGGACAACAGCCCCTCCTGGAACTTCATGACCAAAGGCAGTAGAGAAAATCCATTTGCTAGGCAACTATTCCTTGGCTGAGTAAGCGTCCACTTCCTCCACCAAAGGGGGTGAGGGTAGCATGAGAGGCACCTTGTGAAAGGATGGTGATGCAAACAGGAGCAACTGAGGGAGGCCACACATTTGAGTGATATGAACAAAATCTTTTCGATTAAAGACCCATTCATTGGGAACCAAATGAACCTCTGAAGATTACATTCGGTCATGGACATGATAGTTCCACTTCCATTGGACTCTGCTGTTAAGTTTCCTTTATTTCTAAATGCATAAAACTGCTGCTGTGTTGACATCATGCTGAATAACCAGTCAAGCCTGAATGCGAGGTGACAGCACAGATAGTAACTGCAGGTGGTGATACGCCCTGTGACACAGGCATCAAAGGTAACAAGGAGTCCAAGATAATGAACCTACCATACAGGATCCAGTGGTCCCCTGTCACACCCTTACCCAGAGACTCCTGCACATCTGAGGAGAAGCACTTTGAATCAGCTCAAGTGCCAACGTCTGTATTGCAAAAAAGGAAATTCTTTGGAACGTGCAGAGAATCCAGTGTGCCCAGGGTAGCATAGTGATGCAAGACATCATCGTTTCCAGGAGACCCCTGAATTGGGAAGCTTGACAACACTGACAGAGATACCACTTCCGAAGAGGCTCCCTACACCTTGGCATATTCTGAGAAGGAGCAGAAAAGTGCTCACTCGAGCATTGAACTGGGCTTCTGTATTGATGAATAGATGGGTCTGCTCCCACTGTTTTGACACCTCCAATCCAACCAAAACTCCTCAAGCTGGCCGGATGAAAATCCCTTTTGAACTAGTAGGTGATCTGGGCTCTGGGCCAACAGTAGAATACCATCCAAGTAATGATGGATGCAAAGCACTCCATTCCTCATAGGGGCTACACAGAGATAAAGACCTTCGCAAAGGTCATCTGTTAGGTGGAGAGCCATGAAGGAAGGTATGTGAACTGGAATGGTCAATCCCCAGTTGAATCTTCAGTCTTCTTCATACAGACACAGAAGTCATAGTCATGTCATTGATGTATTTAAAGAGGACATCCACCTCTTTAGCAGAAAATGTTACTCTGGTCTGGATGAAGAATAATTCTAGAGGGTGATGTC